GATTTCACATGATCACAATTAAGTGTTACGAGATTCCCATTCTTCACAACGGTAGCCATAATTTATGATGCACATAATTAAATGCTTTTGCATGTTTAATAAAGCACAAATAGACATTCTTCTGCTATTTTGTGCTTTCAGCCAGGATGCATCTGACATCAGCAATGATAGTTCTGATGACACCGTGCCTTCTCCATCCAGCTTGAACTTCTTCTAGCAGTTCTCTGTGTACTGTTCTAGCTGTAGTTTTTTTATCAAATAACATTTTTATTTTATACTGGTTTGTTTACAAAGTTTGTATACATTGTTTTTCACACCAAACCTTTCCCATTTCCTTTACCCAGCTCTACCCATCCAATTATGATCCTATGATCACCCCTCTGCCCGCCTCACCCTCTGCTTCTATTCCCCACCGTGGATCCTCATACACGTTTTACTAGTTATCTTTCTGTTTTTACATTTATGGTCCTATATGGTATTTGTTCCTATGGGACTGAGTTAGTTCACTTAGCATACTGCTCTCCCATCCCTTCGAAGTTATGTGGTGGTTTTCCAAATCATTGCCCCTGCATGTTGTGTAATATTCCATCACGTGAACACACCACAATTTCTCAATCAATTTGATTGTGGTTGGACATTTGGTCCATTTCCATATTCTTGTGATGATGAATATAACTCTGCTATGAACATTATTGTACAAGCTGCCATTTGTGCCTTGGTTTTAATTTTCTCAGGGTATATTCCAAGCAGTGGAATGGCTTGGTCATATGGAATTTCTATGTTCAGTTTTTTGAGGAAACTCCAAACTGCCTTCCAGAGTGGTTGTACCCTTCAACAGTCCCACGAACAGTGTTTAAGAGTTTCTATCTTTTCACATCCTCACCAATATTTATTACTTGCTGTCCTGTTAAACTTTTCTACTGCTACTGGGGTGAGGTGTTATCTCAGTGTTGTTTAGATTTGCATCTCTCTTATTGCCAGTGATTTTGAGCATTTCTTTAAGTGTCTCTTGGCCATCCAAATATCTTCCTTGTGAAAAAGTGTTTCCATGTCTTTTTCCCATGGAAAGACTTTTCACAGATGTTCAGCCATAATTTGGTTCATGTGATATTCACATTGTTCAATAATTTCCATATTCTTTTGGATCACCTTTTTTGGAAATGGGAATAAATATGGTTCTCTCTAGTAGGTCTACCAGGCAGCTGTTCTCCAAATTTCATACCATAGACTGGTAAGCACATAAAGGGCTGCATCTGTTATTTGAAACATGTTAAATATATCCCATTGATTCCTGGGGCCTTAATTTTTGCCAATGCCTCCTGTGAAGCTTAATATTCTTCCTTTATAACCATTGAGTCTTGGTCACATGGTATTACCTGAAATATTCCATGTCAGGCAGTTCTATTTGGTACAGTGATTCTGTGTACTCTCTCCATCTTCGTGTCTTTTTCTCACAAGAGAGCAGAGTAAGAAGCACTAGTCCCAGCAGGTCAGAAGAGGCAGGTGAGACGTATCCTTTAGACTAGGGCTTCTGTGCTGCTGGGAAACGTTCCTGGAACCAGGAGACAGAGATAGAATACTTCCTTGAGAGCTAGTCCCCTGAACATGGACTTGTTGCCTCCCAAACAGTGAGAAAGTAAGTTTGTTAAAATCACCCAGAATCAAGTCACTGTGTAATCTTTTATGTCATTTTTGAAAGTCTCCTTCCTTCTTACATAGACTTCTGTGCATGAAATTGGTATCACATTCTCAGTGTAAATGTTTTGTGGCACACACCATTGGTGATCCATGAGGGAAATGCTACATAATGGGTATTTGTTATTTTAAGATTTTTTTAACCAAACTATATTTACTGTTTACAGTAGTAAAGGACAAAAAATAATGTACAAATTGGTGAACGAACACAACAGAGCCAACAAACATCCCACCCCTGCCCACTCAGCAAACTACAAAGGTAGCAAACATTTTTAGCAAGATTTCAAACAAGCGAGAATGATGGATCATGTGACACTGCCAGATGACTACAAGAAGCAGAGAATGGCCATCAAGCAGCAACAAACCCTACTGAAGAACAAGAGGCAGACGATGAGACTTTTAATTGATATAGATCCCAAAATAGTTCACAGAACTGAAATCACCATACTAATGCATAAATTCA